GCATCTGTTCCTGACCATGAAGGTGGGGGAGCAGAGGAAGGTGATTGTTTTCTGTGTATACGTCCCTGATTCTCTTTTGTCTGTTTCTCATAGTGACCTGATGACAGAGCAGGGAGCAGATTATTTTCTTCGTCATCTATTTGATCAGGTTTTCATGGAGGAAGAGAGTGTGGCCAGTGGGTACGTGTTGAAAGATGGATTGTTGGTACGGAAATGGTTGTTACATGGGGAGGGTTTTATTGGTGACCCACTCTGGCAGACTGTTGTTTCCTCTAAATTTCACAGTGAAGTGTTAAGGTCTTTCCATGGTCAATCAGGGTATTTGGGGGTCCACAAGACTTATCATTATATCCTGCGTTATTTTTTTTGGCCTCGGTTAAAAAGGGATGTGTCTGAATATATCAAAACCTGCCACACATGTCAGATGGCAGGGAAGCCAAATCAGAGCATTAAGCCGGTTCCCTTGTATCTAATTCCGACAATTATGCAACCCTTTGAGCATCTCATTATTGATTGCGTTGGTACTTTGCCCGGTTCTAAGGCTGGGAGTAATTATTTGTTGACGGTAATGTGTCAGACAACAAGATATCCAGCTGCATACCCACTGCGGACCATTACTGCTAGGTCTGTGGTAAAGGCTCTGACTCAGTTCATTTCTATTTTTGGTATTCCAAAAGTTATCCAGTCCGATCAAGGTTCAAATTTCTCTTCTCATTTGTTTGCTCAAGTCTTGAAATTTAAAGGTAAAACATAATCAGGCTTTTGCATACCATGCTCAGAGTCAAGGTGCTCTTAAGAGGTTCTACCAAACCCTCAAGTCCTTGTTGCATAGCTACTGTGTGGAGTTAAACCGGGATTGGGAGGATGGTTTACCATGGCTTTAGTTGGCCGCTCGTGAGGTGGTGCAGTAGAACACAGGTTTTAACCCAAATGAGCTTGTTTTTGGATATGCAGTACATGGGCCACTTAAACATTTGCATGATGCTGCGAGACCTTCACAACCTCCAACTATTTTAATTGACTATGTCAATGGCTTTAGGCATTGTTTGTGTGTGACGGTGGAACTGGCTAGGGAGAAATTGACCTCAGAAGAAAATGAAACGCATCTATGACCGTAAGGTGGACCATCGATGTTTTAGTCCTGGTGATCAGGTTCTTGCATTGTAACCAATTGTGAGCTCCCCTTTTCATGCTAGATTTACAGGACCATTTACAGTCCTGGGCAAGCTGTCAGATCAGAACTATCTGCTGTCAACGCCAAGGCATAGTAAGTCAGCACAACTTTGCCATGTGAATTTATTAAAACCATCTTACACTCGGGATTCACAGGTATCTGCCATTAAAGGAGAGGAGCCGCAGGTTGAGAAGACAGTCTCAGTAGTTCCTACAGTGGGTGGTTTAGGATTCTTGTCTGCACTTGAGAATGATGGGGTAATTCCACCTAGTGAGAGTTTGTTGACTGGCAGTTTGAAAAATTCAGATGCACTGAGGAATCTGGTTTCTTTATTTGCACACTTGTCTCAGCAGGAGGGCGCTGAGTTGTGCTGCTGTGTTGAATGAATATCATTGTTTGTTTGGTGATTTGCCCCGTCAAACTCACTTAATCCAACATGATATTGATGTAGGTGAGGCTCAGTCAATTCGGCAGTGCTTTTATAGAATAA